GGCGGCGAGGGGAAGAAGAGGCAGAGAGAGAGAGACTTAGCAGGAGAGAGATAGAAAGCAGCGGGAGAAAATGAAGAGGAAGAAGATAGGGTATATTAGATCAGACTTATTTGCGACGACATTGTCGTCGCAAATAAGTTTAAAATGTCTTCGCAAATAATCATTAATTCCCGCGCTTGGTTTTGGTGAAATCTTAAAAAGATTATTTGCGACGACAAAGAGAAAAAGTCGTCGCAAATAACATGAAATTATTTGCGACGACAAAGTCGTCGCAAAAAATGGATTACCTTAGCGGTAAAAATCCGCACCAGTAAAATTTGCGCTTCAAAATTATTTGCGACGACATTTAAGTTATTAGCGACGACATGGTTATTTTTTTAAACGGGAAGTAATTGCAACGACATATCGTCACAAATATTTTATTATTTGCGACGACAAATGTCGTCGCAAATGGCATTTTTTGTTGTAGTGTATATATTTAAAACTAAGTTGATAAGGAAAAACATTTCCGAAAAAAAAAGTCACACCATAAAAATTCAATTGCACAAGTGTTGAAAGATTTCTTAGAGCTATTTTTTGTAATTTGGTTTTAAAAGATATGGTCATTGCACAAGATCATTATCCTGTTTAAGATTTAACATACTTTAACGATTTGGGCCTTCATTGCCTACTTAAATAAAAGTCCGCGGAGATTTTTGCTTATAAAAAGAGATCGGAGATCAAGATGTCATAAACTTAAAAGTTTAAGAACTTGTGGTGTTGTGAACCGAGGAAGAAAAAAAGAAAAAACAGTGGCATGTTCATTATTTCGTTTGAGATTTATGGTCCGTTTAGTTCGCTGAGTTGAGAATTTAATTTGAATTGATATGTGACTTTATGTGATAATTTTTTTACTGTAGTAAAAAAGTTAAATGTAACTGTTTTTTAAAATTTTTTACTGTAATAAAACTTAAATTTTAAACTTGAATCGATAAAATGAATGAGACTTTAATATACTTTTATGATTTTGACCTCGGTTGCTACTTAAATAAACGTTCAGGGAGATTTGTGGTCATAAAAAAAGATCAACGATTAAAATGTCACGTACTTAAAAGTTCAAGAACTTGCGGTGTTAATAACCGAGGAAGAAAAAAACAAAAATAGTGACATGATGAACCAACATATCAAAATGTCACATTTTGTCTCTAAATTGACTGAGGGAGGTAAGTGGCATGCATGGAAAAAAAAAAAAAAAAAATTGATGAGGTCAGCTGACTATACTTGACAAGTTCACGTCCTCTCACCCTTGTCTTGGAATTTTTTTGCTACCTGACTATACTTGACAAGGTCGTCCTCTCAATCTTGTCTTGGTATGACCCCAAGTTATACCCAATAAATACACACAGCAGCCTAAGTTGACCTCCTATCATCCGGATTTTGCCAAGTATTTCATGATTTTTTTTTAATTGACTCATAGTAAGAGCATAAATTATCCACAAACTCTATTATCACTAAGAGAGCTCAGACACTGACGATGCTATGCACTACAAACTAATAAAAGTAGGTTTATCTTTTATTAATTGTGATGTTTATTATCAATAAACCCTCAAATATTTTCTTTTCTCAAAATATTATTGTATGAACACGACCACATAACGTGACACATGGAAATGCGGTTACAACTCACATAAGGGAGAAAAGTTTGTTATATTTATCATCATCCTTTGTATGTACATAATATATTACAAAGAGAAACCCAATATTATAAGCAAAATGATAATTGTAGAAATGTAGCCGTCTATATATATATATATATATATATATATATATAGATATAGACATACCCACTTGAAGATCATGATATCATAGATATAGATTGATATAAAAGTGGAAGGAAGGGAATATGATCACAAGGCACAATGCAACGAGGAGAAAGGTCCAAAGGAGGAGGAACTAAAAGTGGGATGGTTTGGAAGATAGCAGCCAGTGGATGAAGCTTTGCAGCGTAGCAACATCAGCTCTATAGTGATTTTGAGTGAACTCCAATAGATCTGACCATGTGAAATCAGGGTACTTCCTTGGCCCTTCTCTGCAAACAAGATCTTTTGGGGGTCTCACCACTTTGTCCTCCCTTGGGCTCACAAAGAAAACCAATGATCTCCTCACTCTCTCCCTGTTCACCACTGCTCTATGAAGGCAACTCTTGTATCTCCCATTCGACAATGCCTGCAACAACATTATTCCCAATAATATTAACATACACAAAATCCTATGTTGAATTATTACCAGCATATTACATGTGTATACTGTCTATTTCTGTTATGATATTAATTTTAACGTACGCTACAAATAATTCTTAAAATTTGTCACAGTATTTATATCAGCGAAATGATATAAAATATGTATTATTGATTGGATAATGAGTATAGTGCACCAAGTAAGAGGCTGCAAGAATTACAAAATATCAACTACAAGTTTGTTGCTCAAAAAATTGTATGGCCACGAAATAACTATAATATCTAGATCACATTCTTATCGCACGAATCTCTTGCACTTTGGCCTCAACTAACTTGTTCGGCTTTTACAAAACAGCTACAGTCCGAAAAGTTTGATGGGAATTCTACTGTATGTGTGATTATTAATCACTTAGTCTTTTCAAAGAGCATTATTATCAACGTCCACATTCTCATCAATTGGCAAATACTAAATAAATATATGGACCCCACTTATGCTATTCGTCGCCTTTTCATTGGACATCCAATTAATTTACCTGGAAATTTTCTATGGTACGGAAGGGATTTTCACTACCAGTAACAAAGGTTCTTTCCAACCGTCAAATTAATGATTGAGAGCATTTTTACGTCCATATAATGAAAATTTATAAGGTGAACACTCTAAAATATATGAAATATTAATTCAACTACTAGAAGAATTTTCACTAATAATAGTTGAAAGTAACCTTTCTTACCATAAAATTGCGAGCTTAAATTGTTTTAATAGAAAAGGAACGAATAAACCTAGATATAATTGTCACAATCTTGTGCAACATATAATAGGCAACTAAACCCAATTTCCATGGTCACAAATAAATATGAAATGCTAAATATTTTATTGGAAAATATACTAAAAATCCATCTAATTTGTTAATTCGAATTTAGATATGAATTTATTTGAGAGTTTTTTACTGTAGCAAAAAAGTTAAATGTGACTGTTTTTGAGAATTGTTTACTGTAGCAAAACGTGAATTTTAAATTTAAATCGATGAAATGAACGGTATCTAATAGTGTGAATGTAAAAACAATAATGCATACCATGAAAGTATCGCCGATATTGATGACTAGGGCTTCTGGGCGAGGTCGGACAGCTTGCCACGTGTTGTTAGCAAAGACTTCAAGGCCTCCAACTTGGTCTTGGTGAAGAATGGTCAGGGAAGTCGGGTCAGAATGAGGCCCAGTTCCAAGGGTCAAGCCAGAGTTCTTGCATGGTGGATAGTAGTTACATCTCATTATTGACTCACTATCTTCAAAAAATTTCCTATAATAGAGTCTATCAACTCCCAAACTAACGGCCAAGAGCTCCATTATCACTAGAGACAATTCCCTCATTGCTTTGCAATATCTTTGGTAAACCCACCTGTTCAGCAAAATACACACACACACACATATATATAAAACATTCCTAGTATAATAAATTAGGCTTACAAGCTAATTATCTCTAAAAATTATATATATGTATATATATATATATATATAAATTAGATGATGATGATAGTAGGTAATTGGGAGAATTTGGTACAAGATGTGGTTTTTAGTTGGCCTCAATTTAATTCAGATGTACTAGATATCAGTTATTACTCCTCGTAATTTATATGTAAAAAAAAAAATGAAGATAGTAAGAATATGACATGTAGAGAACTTAGTCACAATATTCCAACTAATTTAACATTCTGAAAAAATTTAATATGACGCGCCGCAATTCGTATCAATTATTAGTAATTAAAGAATACAAAAATCTGAAAGGAAAATAAAGTAAAAAAAAAAAAAGGAGCTAATAAATAAAACTAAAACAAAATAAAACCAAAAAACTATTGAGACGTAAACCAAAATATAATTGATAAGCTACCGTATATAAATCATACGGGACTATGGAAGTAATGAGCTTACAAACAAGAAGCAGTCTAATCAACTCGTGATCATAATATTGTAAGATATAATGTTACGTGAAATTCGTCAAATAAAGAACAATAGTATAGAACACTAAGGTCTCGTTCAGTTCGCTGATTTAAATTTTTAATTCAAGTTAAAATATGACTTTATGTGAGTTTTTAATTATAACAGAAAAAATTAAAAATGACTTTTTATGAGAATTTTTAAGCGTAATAAAATTAAAATTTAAAACTCAAATCGGTAAAATAAATGAGATATAATAATATTCAAAACATCATATTCACTAATATAAAAATGGATTTGATAGTATGAAATTTATACGGTTAGGATCCAATTTTTTTTTAGCGGTGATATGATACTTAATACAAATGATGTTCCAAAGTATATTGTTTTTTAAGAAGTAAATATTCCATTCCAGCATTGCGGCAGAGAATCGTGAAATTAGCGTGAACGACTTTTTGCACTGTGATCACATTAATTATCTTTTGATCAAATTGATAATGCTTACGTACGTGAGGACTAATGATAGGATAGGAGAGGACGAGGAGTGGGGAATGATTTGTTTTTATTTTATTTTATTGTTTCCTCACTTTCTTTTCCTTACAAAGACGACGTCACTTGTATGTCTTGTCGTCAAAAAAAAAAAAATTAAGCAAATAAAAGCCCAGTCATGTCAAGATCATCAAATCAATATCTGGACTTGAAAAGGCACTTAAAAGACATCTTTCACAAAACATGCAGTTAAATCGCATATGATCAGTTGTGAATTTTGATATCATGATCATCATGGATTTCAAACATTAGCAGCAAAAACTTATTAATTAATCAAACAATATATGTTATTCAATATAATTTTTATCTGTATGCGTATGTAATAGAGAATTTACATATATATAGTTGTGATTATTTAGTGAAACTGACGTATCAATCAACACGTAAGTTTACAAGAACTTTTTCCCTTTTTTCAAAAAAAAAAAGAAAAAATCTGATTATTCAAAAAAAGAAAAAAAAATAATCTGCATGTTGATCACTTGTAGTCCATGTTCTAATAATTTAGCCTCTACTTTTTTAAAAATACGTACAATGAGGAGAGAGAATAACTGACATAAACACAAACACGTACCCGGTGCAATTGAAATCTTCTCCCAAAGCTGACTTGAAGTAGTCGACAACAACAGGCTCCGAGTAGGCATCATCATCACTTTCTCGGTAACCAAACGAAAAGGTTTCTTTCCATGGCAACTTGGACGAGTACCGATCTGCATGGGCGCCGGAATACCCTAAAAGACTGCCGGGTTTTCGCCAGACGCTGAGCTTCTTGTTCAAGGGCAGCCCGAAAATGGTGTCCATTTCTTCGTGCGCGGCGCGGATAAGGTCAAGGTCGACACCGTGGTTGATCATTTGGAAGAATCCGTGGTTAAGGCAAGCTGTTCTGACGAGCTCCGCGGCGTGATCGGCGGCAAATTCATCTCCTCTGAGGAAGCCTTCCAAGTCTACGAGAGGCTCGTTGAGCTCCTCTTGTGTGCCGTGAACTAAGTCGCCATTTGGCCAAACGAATTGGTTTGGCAAGTTTGTTTGCTTTTGGAGTACGTTTGAGTCAAAAACTGGAACCCCGTTTTCATCTTTGAGCTCCATTGATGGGGGACACAAGAGAACGGGAGAAGAAGTACTTGTTGAGTCCACCAAGGGAGACATTTTTAAAAAGCTGATGTTGAAAAAAAAAAAAAACACTACTATTTAGAGGACAAACAAATTGAGATTCTAAGGGGAGAGAGGTGGTTCAAATAGAGAGGCTCCTAAGATGCATAATACATAATTTGCTTCGTTAGCATTTATATATTACTGAGCCTCAGATTATGAAAATAAAAATTAACATTTACGAAATATATCTTACATCATGCATGTGCTAACTAATTAACGTAAATATATAATAAGAGAAGATAACTAACATCAGAAATAACTAGAACTTTATAATTAAATTAGCATCAACTGACAAACACATCCGACACCAAATACTCCAATTAATTAAAATAAAAAAATACCAGCGTAACTTTTTTTATCAATTTTTTTTTTCTCTCTTTTTTTACTCTTTGACACGTGGATGTCATTGTATCATTTTCTGTTTAACTAATAAAATATAATATTAATAAAATTTACGTGTCAAACAGTGAATAAATAAGTGATAAAAAGAGTGACAGAAAAATTAACGCTGACATTTTTCATTAAAATTATATGAAAAATAGTTACAAGCAAAATAGATAAGAGTTCAAAAGTACGTATGTTTTTATATGTATTTGTTACATGCACACGTAATGTATTGTATGTGTGAATATTGTGTATGTGAATAGTGTCGCAGGTATATTTTATCAATAATTCTACATCTAACTATATATTATAAAGTGATGAGTTGGAATAGTATATATATATATATATATATACACGCGCGGGCGCCTAGAGAGGCCAAGGCCGTCCATTGGGAAGGTCGAAGCAAAAGAAGAATTTGGAAAGGTTATGAAGGAGAGCCAACAAGAGAGACGAAGTGGACGCCCTCAAGTTCCGTCGAGTCATTTTCTCATCGTTGGAATCAACTAGATTTATATCACATCCAATACACGAGCAGCCATTTATTTGTTATATGCTCCTATCAATTCTTCTCTCCCTTTTGTTTGTCTCTACTATACTAAATATACTTGATGTTGTTGCTTCAATGGGACCCATCAAAATAATAATTCAAAAATACAATATCAATATAAAAATAATTAAAAAAAAACTCACGAGAATAAATTTAGGGTGATGACAACAAATATTTATAAATACCGTCATGTTTTTTTTTTAATATAATATAAGTTGTGAACGTGAAGCGCTATTATGCAATAGTGTATATCATATATATAGAGCACTCTTATTATCACTATGAAAAATATTATAAGCAGTCAACAACGACGTCCACAAAGTAATGAGCTGAAGAAAAAATTGTCTAAATTCATTCTGCAAAAAATAAAATAAAATAAAATAAAATAAAAGCACAAACGCTATCCTGTAATTCTCATACACTGTGCTGAAGGTTTTAAATTAGAGCCCTAATCATATAAGATTCAAGGATCATATAATATATAAAGACGTATTTATAAATAAATAAAAGATTATATAACATATTACAAAATTGAAACATCAACCCATTAGGCAAAAACCTATCATTTTTTTTTAAATGAAGAAAGAGAATAATTAATATTAATATTTATTAATATATCCTAACTAAATTGACATCCACCAGTAAACTTATCCTGTATATACTGACTTAACCTCACTCAATATAATTAATAGAAAATAAAATTACAAAAGTTACAAAAAGAACACACACACACCGCAAAAAATAAAAATAAAAAAAACTGAGCATATAAGATCAAAGTTAAACAACTAAAGTTCCTTGTAGTATCTCCCTACTGGAAGAAACCCGAAATAATATCAATCGATTTGGTAATGATAAAGACAGACTAATTCGCGCCTCATTTTCATCACCATCTTGTACCCTTCGAAAGTGTTAGCAAGAGATAAAGACAGACTAATTTCTATAATAGTCACTAAGGATGAGGATTCAGAGTTCATTCGTAGCTAGCTAGCTAGCCAGTTTAATAAGTTTTATCCGTTTATGATCTTATCATCTATAACTCAATCCTTATCATTTATCTTATGTATGTATATATAATATATATATATATATATATATATATCCCTCTCTCTCGTTTATTTAAGTCCCAATGGAAAAATTACATGTAACTAAAAGCTACTTAATTTAGGTTTTTTTTTCTTTCTTTCTTAAGTCTAGAAGGAGACGACTCTAGGCTGACGTTAACATATTTTTTTTTTAGTACCAAAAGGGCTCTCCATAAATTGATAAGAATGTTTATAATGCCCTACAATCGGATCTTATCTCTCTCAGAAAAAAAAAAAAAAAAAAAAAAAAAAAAAAAAAAAAAACCTCAACCTTACCGGATGTGCTAGCTAACCCAAGTTTCAAGGGTCGCATGGCACGAAATCTGAAAAGAAAACCGATCTTGTTTTACAATACATGGTTTTTGTTTGTTCCTCTAAACACAACTAAGATATATAAATTGTGTACACATATATATAGGCCCTGTTTGTTAGACTAGTTCGAATCACAATTTAAATTTTTACTACAGTATTTTTTTTTATAAAAATTTAAATTCAATTTTTTTTGTTACAATATTTTTTTTTACATAAATTCACTTTTTAACTCAAATTCTCAACTCTGAATTTTCATCCGAACATATATATTTTTGTTTGTTACCAAAGCAAAAATAAGATATATATATATATATATATATTTGCTCGTCAGACAGTTGTGTATGTACATGTACACTGTATTATCGTGCCCAAGAAATTAAAGATTAAAGAACTATACATATATATATGTACATGCTTTCAAAGGGCAGTGGGAAGGAGAATAGCTAAATTTGGTCGGGAGTCAATTTCAATTTCCAACATCTATTGTCTTTTACACAGCACAAAAAAACATGTGTCCCCTCCTTTCCCCCACATAATTCAATTTTTTTTAATGATTTTCTCGGAATTTTTTGTGAAGATTTCTTTTTTAGATAAATAATTATTGTAATGAAAAGTTTGTACTACTAAAATAACTTGATAGTGATATATATGTTACAAAAAAAAAATGACGTTTAAAGCCAAAACAATGAGCAAAGTGGATGGATCGATGTGATTGCTCACAACAAGCATTGTTTTAAACGGTTTCCCAACTCAAAATAATAATAATAACAATAATACTAATAATAATAATAATAATACTACTTTACAATAATAATAATAATGATAAGCAAAACAAAGGATACTTATTATAATGAGCAATTAAGCATATCCCTTTAGTAGAAGTAAAATAGTTATTTGTTAAGTGGATAAGATCACAATATATATTGTAAATTAACTAAAAAATAATAATAAAAAAGAGACATGATTTCCTCAATTGTATCGATTAGACCACGACTTGAGTTCGAAATTGTCGTCTTCTTCTAGTCAATTTACTGGTCGTACGTCACAAATATGTATGGTGTTTGGCTTTCATGAAATTTTTTGAGAAAAAGCGAACTTTCTGAGCAACTCAATAATGAAACATCGGTAGCTTGTCTTGATTCGACCATTTATATGTATAGTACTATACAGTAAACAGGATGCGGTATCAAAACTTCATTGATCTTGCTGTATAAAAACTTGGAGTTTCTTGAGCAAGTTGACCGCTTAATTAACCAAGAAAATATGCTCATAGTTTTTTATAGTTACGTTTTATGATAGTTACCTATTAAGTATGAAAATTTAATAATGCAGTGCCATAAAAATTTTTCATTAAACTGTCATAATTTTTTTGTCAATTACTTAATCTTTATTATAACTATTGGATCAATGGTTTACGGTTAATATAATTATACTCATTGATAAGTAAATATAAAAATAACCATTAAAATCATACTCTATATATATATATATACATATATATGATTTTATATTCTTACAAATATATACATATCGAGTTCATTTTTTATCATTGCAAATGCAACCATCAGAGATCATTTCATAAGTGAATATCTACATTTTCTCGACCATCATGTTATTTTAACTAATAAAGTGACCAAAATGCCCTTCTAAAGAAAAAAGGAAAAAAAAAAAAAACGGAAACCTCTGAAAATATATACCTTTGTTTTGTCTTAAAATTTTAGATAATTTTTGTTTGCTTTTCTTTTTGTTCTTTTTTTAGGATATTTTAGTCATTTTAAGTCAAAATAAATTGTCGACTGAGAAAATGTATATATTTACCTATTGAAATATATGATGATATATATATATATATATATATTATAACAGCCGAAAACTAACAGTATACGTTCTGAATATCAGTAAAATACATAGTAAAAAGGATAATTCAAAAGGGAACCTTTTTCCAAATTATTTCAATAGAACATAACAGTTAGCCTTTTCTTTTATTAATCTTAGCAACGGAAAAACTGAATCCACCAATTACAGAAAAACTCGGACGAATGTGGCCAATTCACCATGGTTTAGATACTTTCAAATATCGGATGCTATTATTATGATTGAAACTATGCATGCATATACATAGTGTGTGTGTGCGCGCAAAATAGACATACATAATGTTCTAGAGAGATCTTAATATATATATATATATATATATAATATTCTTAGAGAGACTTTGATATTTTTTGTGGTACTTTTGTTTTAATGAAACTAATGTCATGATATGAGTAAACTTTTCATTTTTGATCATATCCTATGGTGACACATGTATATAGCATCCATATATATATATATATATATATATCCAAACTGTACCACAAGCTTATTGAAATGAAAGAGGTAGAGAGAGATAGAGATCAAACAAATAGAAAGTGGTACTACCGTGTTAGCTAGCTATTAGACAAATCAATGTGGGGCCCCAATATTATATGGTGACCAGAATTTTCGAAAAAGACAATGGTACATAAATGACTTTGAAAAGGAAACCCAGCTAATTATTGCTTTTCCCTATATAAGTAACCTAATACTTCTAAGACCATGCCCAAAATAGAGACTGGGATCAAATATAATATAAGATTACTGTGCTTTTGACGTGGGCTTTTGTTTGGAATTTCATTTCCGAAACGACACTC